GAGGAGACAGGGTTCCAGGCCGGGGGGCTAAACGGGCAAGTCGGCAGGAAGGGAACGAGGAGGTTCCAAAGCAGAGGTGGAGGATTCAGAGGGGAAGTAGAGGGGTCCAGGAGCCGTTGTCCGAGCGAGCCGTGAGCGCAGATGAACGATCCAGCATCCCCCAAACGGTACAGGGCACCTCGCCTGGGCCAGCGGCACTGTCCAGCTATCACTGCAGGCTCGTGGTTTTAGCAGGAGTTAAACCCGCAGTCTAAACCCGACATTCGCCGCGTTAACAGCGTTGATTACAGGTCGGACTTCAAGGTCAGGTCGTTTCGAGGAATCTTACCTCCTAACAATAAAACAGACATCTTGATTAGCATCAAACTAATTCACTCACTGCTCAATCTCACAACAGTTCAGAGAGCTAAGATCCAAACGCCCAGGGGGCAGAAGTCAGTCTTTGTCCCACCAAGCAGAACCATCTGTCACCCTGCCCTACAAACTAACCACCGAGATACCCAATGCGTCCTCCTGCGGGGAGCCTCTCTGGAGTAACTGCTACAGGTAGGCCAGCCACGCTCCTTGGCACACTTCAGGATGGAGAGAAATCTGACTTTCAGGAAAGCAGGAGACGTAAATCCCAAATGCTGAGGAAATCCCTCCTCCCGTTCTTCCATGAGATGGATCGGATCTGCGCTGGCGTCACAGGGGCCCCCACGCGGCAGTGACCCGTGACCTCCACCGGCTCCAGGCATGCAGTGAGAAAGAGGACAGACCGGATAGCAACCACCCCCCCCCCCGTACGGCACCCTCTGTCTGCACTGTCCACAGAGCCCACTCACATCCCCGTCACGCAGCTGCTGTCTGCTCTACTTTGTCTGATCATCACAGTGAACGGCAAAAAATCTGCTGAATGCGACCTCCTCCTCCGCTGCCGCCCTCTCTCTCTCAGCCCTCCCTCCTTGCCTTGCTCCCCAACCCCCCACAGGCTCTCTCTCGCTTATTGACTTCCTCTCAGAGGCTCCCGCTGCCTATTGTCTGGGGGAGAAAGACGTGATGGGCTCCCTAAGAAGCCCCCACCCCCAAGGAGAGCGACTGGGCAGCAAGTGGGAGAGGACCAGGGCAGGACCCCGTTGTCCCCTGATGCCGGATCAGCTTACAGTCAAGAAGATGAAAAGCAGGTTCAATCATAACTATGTATTTATAAGCAAACTGCTTGGTTATATAGGGTAGAAGGTAACCTTCACCCAGCAGACGTGATGGGAATCTGGGGAACTGTGAGGCGCAGAGGTGGTAGTGGTGAAGCTTACACTGATGGGTCAACCCAGCTGACATCAGGACACTGAACAGATTCCTCAGGGATTTTTACAGGTAATGGGCAGAAAACTGGGGGGGGGGGGTTAATAGCTTGGGAACTAAGAGAGACAGGAGAGGCAGACCATGGGAAGAGAAGAGAGGGGAGGGGAGGGGGAGGCAGACTGTGAGAGGAGACATAAGGAGAGGAGGGGGGAGGCAGACTGCAAGAGGAGACACAAGGAGAGGAGAGGGGGAGGCAGACTGTGAGAGGAGACAAGGAGAGGAGAGGGGGAGGCAGACTGAGAGGAGACAAGGAGAGGAGAGGGGGAGGCAGACTGCAAGAGGAGACACAAGGAGAGGAGAGGAGGACGCAGACTGAGTGGAGACAAGGAAAGAAGAGGGGGAGGCAGACTGCGGGAGGAGACACGAGGAGAGGAGGAGGCAAACTGTGAGAGGAAGCATACGGAGAGGAGGGGGGAGGAAGACAGAGGAGAAGGGAGGAGAAGAGATGGGGAGGCAGACAGAGGAGAAGGGAGGAGAAGAGATGGGGAGGCAGACTGAGAGGAGAAGGGAGGAGAAGAGATGGGGAGGCAGACTGAGAGGAGAAGGGAGGATAAGAGATGCGGAGGCAGACTGAGAGGAGAAGGGAGGAGAAGAGATGGGGAGGCAGACTGAGAGGAGAAGGGAGGAGAAGAGATGGGGAGGCAGACTGAGAGAGGAGATACAAGGGGAGGAGGGGGGAGGCAGACAATTGGATGCACATCTGTAACTGAGGGAGGTCCTTACCTGCAGCAGCCATGTGCTGGTCCTTTGAGAAGTCAAATCCTGCTCCAATCAGGTTCATGATTTTCTCAATCTGTCGGAGTACAGCACAGGGTTAGCTGCCAAGAACATAAACCACCTGCGAGTGAGCACCCTCTCACCCCCCCGGAGTGGTCAGGCGGAACATCCCACTGATAGCAAAGAAGCTCCCATTAACCAGGAAGGGCCACGCTGATGAAAGCTGCTGAAGATCCCGGAAGGGTCCCTATGGAACAGGCGTGAACGCAGACCTGGCAGGCAGCAGGCAGACCTGGCAAGCAGCAGCCACTCCCAGCACCACTCAAGCACCGCACCCCCTCTGTCAGAGCTGAGCTGGGCTGGGCCAAACCGGGCCGCCACGTGTGCGTGTAGCTGAATTCACAGGCATGAGCAGACGCACGCACACGCGCACACACACACAGAAGTAGCGCAGAAGCAGGAAGGACGAGGCCTCACATCCCAGGGGACACTGCCTCTGAAGGGGCATGTCCCCAGTCATGTGATACGGCTGCGAGGGGACCGAGACTGAACTCCTCCTGTGCAGCCCCGTCTTGTGCTGTGAATGCGACCACTGCAACACCTGTGCTGTACTTCACAACTCAGCAGCATCGCATGGGATACCGGCTGTAATACATGAGTGATGCTCCTGTGGGGCTTCAGACCTGGGGGAGGGGGTAAGTGCCCCGCTGCGAGGACCCAGGAAGCCCCAAGGGGGCGCTCTGCACTCCTCTCCCCCTTATAACCAGTCCAGCCCCATTTATTGAGGCAGCACTTCATAGTATTTTTTAAATCATGGCAGGAAAAAGGTGCACAGAACAGAAGAGTTAAACACGCATCTTAAGCGTTTAACGCCACAGCAGGAATAACCAGCGGACACACTGGGGCAGAAGGGACCTTCTGAGATATGATATTTCAGAGTGACCGCACAGGGGAGGCCCTCAGTCACCAAATTCATGGATGACCACTCTCCTCTGCCGGTGGCACATTCACACCATCTGTCAGAGGAGCAAGAGGAGGAGGAGGAGGAGGAGGAAGAGAGACTGTTGTCTAGCAGCATGAAACGGGAGGCCTTCCACAATCACCTGAGGGCTCGGCTCAAAGATAAAGGGCCTCTGTTGGGGCCTGATTAACTCACGCACAAGCAACGCACACCCACGTTCACCAAGACGCACACCTCTCTGCTTCCCAGGCAACTTGTACCCAACCTCAGCCCCTTATCCCAGACAGTAAAGCCAAACTGGATAAAAGGAGGCCGGAGTCTTACACTTTGGAATGACTTAGAGTTCCGAGGTTGTGCGGCCAGAGACTGCCGTGTCTGCTGGGAAAGAATGAGTCACGCTTTAAAGAGCGGTTATAAAATCCACATCGACCATCATTCATCTGTGAAGCCCTCCGTTAACCAAGAGTTATCAGACAGGCCAGTTTCAGAATGACAGACCTTTACCGGAAGCCCTACTTTCTGATGTAGGCTCACTGAGGATGAGATCTGACGCTTATCACACAAGAGCAGGCTTTAATCCAGTAATTGGGACCAAACATGCCGGAAGCCTGGTCTATATGAGACAACTTCTCTCACACACACTCTTTTCCACAGACATGTTAGACAGGTCATGTCAGTTCCACTTTCAAAGATAACTCCTCATTCCAAAGACCGCATTTTCTGGCACATGTGCTCTTGAAAGCATGTTCTGAGACCATGCGACACCCCATAACAGCAGTTTCAACGCAGAGCCCACATTTCCATGGAAACAAGACAGCGTTTACGTGACGGGAAGGGGCACAGGCGGACACGGACCAAGACATCAAAAAGAGGCTGATGACCCACGCTGATGACGAGCCCCGCTGTGATGACCCACCATGTCAAACACGAGTATTGCGTGTTTCTCGACAACAGCACGCACACACCGCGTCCTAACAGCCATTCATGTGCCAGTCGGGACACATATTAAATATGCATGCAGACTGGCTGCCCATGAGATCAGGGATCGTGAAAGAACTAAAACCAGAGGAGCACATCTAAACTCAATTGTCCGGCACTGAGCAGTGTCAGCAGGGTCGAGCTCTTCGCCAAACGGTGGAGGGATTCCCTCACAGAAAGGACTGAGCTCACCCAACAGCACGGCCTTCAAAGAAAAAGCTGAGAGTCAGGAAGACTGAAGTATCCCCTCTGACTCAAAGGGAGCCTCAGATTCCAGCAGATCTGGTGTTTAACATGCCAGCACAAACCGACCCATTTAGACTGCTAATCAACCCGTGACTCAGCCCATAAACACAGGCCTAGGGAGCAGCCATATGTACTAGACACTGTGAGCCTCTGATTACAAAATGACATGCGGCTGATGGCAGCCTGGAACCAATGGGAGTTCGGAGGCCGGCGGCCTGCCAGCCCTGCAGAAACAGACGCACTGCCAACGCACCCTAATCACTGATATGTGACCGTCGGGTCCTCCAGAAGGAGCACATGGGAGTCGAAGCGATCAGGAGAAAGCGGCCAGAGCACTATGCTGAGGACAGCAGGACGCGTCAGGGGCTGCAAGGGAGAGGATCCTGCAGTGTCGAGATAAAACGCTTCACACGCTCAGTGCCCCACAAATCCCAAACACATCCGTTAACAAGGCAAGCGTTTCTCAAAGCTCGAGGAGAATGTATATCGTATCGACCAGGCGGAGATCCATGTGACAGCAGAAACTGACCGATAGTCCAAAGATCATCCGAGGGACACTGCTCAGGGTACGTGCTATATACATACAAGCAGCCATATTTAGCCCAGATGCATCAGTCTTTGGCATGTTCCTGCTTCAGAAGACCAGTGATTAACAAAGGGGGGGGAGGCAGGACCAAAAGGGGGAGGGACCAAAAAGGAGTCAGAGCGAGCAAGGATGCCCAACACAGTGTGGAAAAGATGCCGATACCAACTTCTCATCCCTTAAGGCCTTGCATTGCGCCCCTGCAGTCACTGAAACGCAAGTGAGAAACGCTTCACAAGCAGAACAGAAGGTGACACCTTCAGCTACGGACACACCGGCTCTGCCTCTCCGCAGGGCTGTAGAATCAGTGTGGTGCCATGGTCACCGGCAGAACTGGCCAGTGGAAAAGACCACAGCTCCAGCCAAAGTGGACCAGCTGGGGTGAGTGCCAAGCTGTCAGGCTCACATGGCCGCCCTGGCATTCTTTGGGAGGGGGGATGGACAAATGCACACCTCATACTGAGGACAAAAACGGCATCTGTCACAGCCAAGTCCTCGGCCAGTGGATACGCTCTCAGGGCGTGCTGGGATACGTGCAGGGAAAGAAGAAGCCCGACGAGACTCTGTACCAGTAACACGCAGACATAACTGCAACTTCCAGTCCGACATAACCGAATCGGAGCTCCACAACTATACCTTCCGCACATGGCCTGCCTGTGAATCAGCTTCCGCTGATCTGTTCGATACAGGCTAGCCAGAGACTGCTGGACCAAGATGTCCAAAACAGACCACCCAGACTCTCCCAAACAAAGCTGCTTGACATAGACCACCCAGAGACTCGTGGACTAAGCTGTTTGACATAGACCACCCAGAGACTCGTGGACTAAGCTGCTTGACATAGACCACCCAGAGACTCCTGGACTAAGCTGCTTGACATAGACCACCCAGAGACTCCTGGACTAAGCTGCTTGACATAGACCACACAGAGACTCCTGGACTAAGCTGCTTGACATAGACCACCCAGAGACTCCTGGACTAAGCTGCTTGACATAGACCACACAGAGACTCCTGGACTAAGCTGCTTGACATAGACCACCCAGAGACTCCTGGACCGACCTGTTCCAGACATGCCACTCAGAGACTCCAGGACCAAGGTGTTCAATACGGACAAACCAGAGACTCCCAGACCAAACTGTTCATTATAGACCACCCAGAGATTCCCTCACCAAGCCATTCAATACTAACCACCATGAGACTCCCGGACCAAGTTGTTCTACACAGGCCACCGAGACACTCCTGGGCCCAGTTGTTTGATATGGGCCACCATTTCTGAGCGCCATTGGACCAAGGGAAAACAGATACTCACAAAAGGCGGTCTTGTGGTGGCCATGTCTGTGTGCCCCTGTCGACGTTCTGTCTACCTCTTTAGCCACACATACCCTCGGCCCCCTGCACAAAGCCCCCCCCCCCCCCCCCCAACCCCCCATATCATCATGTCCAGCTGGAGCCTGAGCCCAAGACATTAGCAAGTCAAGAGTGGGTTTTGTGTATGCTCTAGACCTCATGCAATTCAAATCTGTGTATGGGGTATAAGACAAAGAGGCAGGGGGACCAGGGAGAAGAATAAAAGGGTGCTGAGAGCCCCATGTCCTGCGGCGGCAGGCAGGATGAGCAACATGATCGCCATGTAGTTTACAAAGAAGGATGGATAGCAGTCAGATGTTCCTGGGGGACAGAATGATACAACGCCTTGTTTCATAATGGAAAGGGTTCCTGAAAGAATTAAGAGTAACACTTTACTTGATAGGGCACAAATAATATAGTAATAACTTATTACTGAGGCAAAAATCATGAACAACTGTAGATGCTACTTGCGATAAAAGATGTCACGGTTAATTAATGATGAACTAACATGAAATCAGTATTTAACGTGTAATTCATGACTTGTTCCTTCAGTGGTTCACAAAGATTTACAGAATTAACAGATATACTAACAGATGCAGTAACTGCTTGAGATAAAATGTGTTACGATTCATTAATGATGAATTAACATGAGATCAGTATGTAACTAAGACTTACTTTGTGGTTAATTAATACATAAGTAATAGCATAATGCTATACTACATTTATGTGCAGTCAAGTAAAGTGTTACAGGATTAACAAACCTGCACGAAAGATGTTATGCAGCAAAACTTAAGGTAGATACTTGTGCCTTTGGTAACAGAGCTGCATGTGTGATGCTCAGTGAGGGATGAAGGAGGATATTCAAATGCTGGTCATACTGCATGAGCAAATGGGTCATTCCTTTATTTAGAAGCAACTTGGGTTAAGGACTGTTACTGGCATCTCAGATGCACTGCACCAGTGTATCTAAATTAGGGTACACCCTTTAGGCAGGGGCCAAAGTGTGCCTTGTTTCCACCAACATCCCGGTACTGGGATGATTCTCGCTCGGTGCCTTTTGAGAACCTGTCCACGTTTCCACTGGTTCCAAAAAAGAATGGAACAGAAACATTAGGTAGGCGGAATGAAAGTAAAAATAAAGGTTAATCTGTATTTAGTTTTTTTGGATTTATTTTGGTCCGTTTTGGAATTTAAGTTGTTATAAGCTACCGAACTGGAAAAAAAACTTTACAGAATATGACAGAGTTGTGCTTTGTCTCTATTGCCCGTTTGTACTATTGTCTCCTTAAATGCTCCCCCGTCTGTGTGTGACCATTTATTCTCGCTCCCTGTTTTACTGCTGTTCATTTAAGGAGCTCACAATATGACTGTGCTAAAAATCGTCCACGTCATGATCCCTCTGCCACCTGAGCACCGTGATATTTTATTTATTTGACCTGCGACAAATTTATACTCCTTATAAAATCCGGCCAGCAGATCGATCTTTTGCTTTTCACAGAGTAATAAAACCATGTGACATTATTTGGCTGATAAGCTGCTGGTACCGGTGATATTAGACAAAATTGTGTTGGATATGGATTGAATTTTCTGGATATTCATTAAGCTCTGGGTGGGCTGTGGCTGATACTCCAACAGTCTCCACCTATGGGCAGTGAGATACCACGTACAGATACTATGGAGAACAGGAGAAGCTTCAAGTGCAGGCCTGACTCCATGTGGAAGGATGAGGACTCGGTTAGAAATCTGCTCTGCTGTAGTACACCGGGCAAGGAGTCTTCCGCCCAATATGCATACCTATATTTAAATTAGACTCATCTATCGTCATTATTTTTAATACACTGCTCGGTTTATACAGTGCTAAGCAACCTCAAAAATGTTACTCTTTTCCAGAAAGATGCAGACCTCATTTTGAATAAGCCACCATAATTCATGTTTGTTCTTAAGCAGTGATGGCGTCCCTTTACTAACAGCAGACCACCATGCATACACTTCATTAACCCCGGCCATCTGTGTTTTGAGACACCACAGGCATGCCACCAGAAACAGCGATACACAGCTAGCCAAGGTGCACTAACTCCCAAGAGCAGTCGGTGCTAACTCCAGCACCACAGTTAGCTCCTGTGAAGCATGCTATGGCTATCAGTGCTAACTCCAGGAACACAGCTAGCCAAGGTACGCTATCCCCCAAGATCTGTCAGTGCTAACTCCAGCACCACAGCTAGCCAAGGTGCGCTAACTCCCAAGAGCAGTCGGCGCTAACTCCAGCACCACAGTTAGCCATAGCATGCTTCACAGGAGCTATCAGTGCTAACTCCAGGACCACAGCTAGCCAAAGTGCGCTAACCCATAAGACCACCAGTGCTAACACCCAACAGCCCCCCTCCCAATGTTGCCTGAGAAAAGGGGTCAGACCTAGCTGGTGCCTGTTCTTACTCCACGGAGCTCCTTAATAGCTTCATAATTATTTGGAAAGAGAAGCACTTCACCTGCTGTTTCATTTACTCGCACGCTAATTAGAAGGGATTCAGAAACCTGCAGGACTCTGGCTGCCTGCCACTAGCCTTCATGGAACGACTGTGCAGGTTTTGCGATCTGAGCCCTCCACACTCCCGCCAGTGAACCTTCGCTTCATGTGACCATCCTAGTCTGGGATGTTGAACCCAAATCAGTTTAGTGTTCTCCTTTTAGAAGAACGGCCAGTAAGCACCCAGAAAACTGATGGCTATACTGGACAATGACTTCCACCCATCTTTGCTAAACAGAGGAGCACCTTAAGCAACAGAATGCGCTATATGAGGTCGTGCCCATCTTCGGCAAATATTCTCTACAATGAGTCATTCTATTGCAGTACTTTTTCAGCCAATCTTTGCACTTTTTTGTTTGTAATTTACTGGTATTTACATTTCTTTTACTGACTAAAGGTATATGTTGTGCTTCTGGAAATCTGCTCTTTCCTTTGAGATTAATAAAGAATCCACCATCGATGTTATTCTCATCGAATTCGACATGAAGACGTCTCTCATGCGGAGTACGGAGGGCTTTGGCTATAGGGCCATGTTGGAGATGGGCGGCGACAGCAAGCAAAGAAATCTGACCCTACGACTGCAGACCGCAGACCAGAACAGACAGACCCACAATTATGAGACATAGCCTTTGGTACCATTCAGCCCCTCTCAGCTCTCTCCATCTTACCAGTCACCTGCATGAAATCATGAGACCTGACATGGGTCGGTGAGACACGTACTGACTGTGCAGAAAGATAATCTGCCCGTGCCCCCCCAGAATCAGTGCCGACAGGCAGATGGCATGGGGGGGTTCAACGACGAGCTACCCTGGCAAACAGAGAGTGATGGGAACTCCTTATAAACAAGCTTGACATCCCCAAGGTAAGGCGGGGGGAGCTCTCCCCCCATCAGAGAGGATGCTGCAGCACAGGGGGTCAGAAAGGACAGGCTGAGGTGAACGAGACCCCCCCCCCCCCCCCCAGCAGTGAGGGTGAGCGGTGCGCTCCTGCTGAGCACGGTGCTGCCTCGAGCTAGCGAGTCTGTCTCCGCACAGTGCCGGCGTGTGGGCAGCCTGCCAGTAAGCCGTCCCTCTGTCACACTGCATCCCACTTCCTAACCCGGCGCGCCCCAGAGCCGCGCGACCCAAACGGCACCACATCCCGCCCCAGAGCCGCGCGANACATCCCGCCCCAGAGCCGCGCGACCCAAACGGCACCACATCCCGCCCCAGAGCCGCGCGAACCAAACGGCACCACATCCCGCCCCAGAGCCGCGTGACCCAAACGGCACCACATCCCGCCCCAGAGCCGCGTGACCCAAACGGCACCACATCCCGAGCCCCGTACCTCATCCCACTCGGAGGCGAACGATGGCGACTTCTCCAGCCGTTTCTTGCTGGCGCTGCAATTGGAGACGGACTCGCTGCGGCCACTCAGGCCGCCGTCCTCCTCGTTGGGTGGCGACACCAGCAGGTCCGAGTCAGACTTGGAGAGGCTCCGAGCCAACTTCAGGTCCCCTGGGGGGCGTGGCCGGCTGGCCGGCGGCGCCGCGGCAGGCGAGTCCCTGGCCTCGGGCCTGGTGTGCACCACGGTGGCGTAGATGGCCTTGGGGTCGGACGGGGAGGCTGCCATGGTGGACCGCACGGGCGCGGGAGCGACAGCTGCTGTCGGCTGCGGGTTCTGGCTCGCCGCTGGCACACCGGGCACCTTGTGAGACTCGAAGACGGGCGATGAGCCGTGCAGAAGCCCGGTGAACTGCTCTGGGACGTCGATGCCCTGGCCAGGCACGCTGGAATCTGGGTGAGACGGAGAGAGCTGAATACCGCTTTGCCGACAACGGAGAGCATGAGAGCCGGGGGAATGGCGCTGCAGCTCAGAGCGAGCGAGTAAGCGAGAAAGCCCCCCCCCCCACCCACCCCCGCGCTTCGCTCTCTCCATCCCTCCTATTGAATAACAGCCTCCTTTATAAGGTTAGGTTCCAAAGAAGTCACGCTGCAGTAAGGACTCCCTTTAGGGAAGACGGAGGGAGGCTGGCCTAAAAAGGACATAGAACTGGGGGGGGGCATGTACAGACAGAGGGGAGTGAGAGACACACCAACATGCCCAGCAGTAGAAGCACAACAAAGGCGGCTCTATCTGCGTCCCGCGAGGTCTCACCGTCCCCGAAACGCGCGACCCGCCGGAGGCTCTCCTGAGTCCTGCCGTGTCTGAGCGCCACCTCTGTTCTGCGGGACAGGCCCGGCTGCAGGGGCTCTAATCTGAGAGCATGCGTGCGCGAGCGCGCGCCTGTGTGTGCGTGCGTGGCCAGAATGCCGCGGTGTCTGGTGACAGGGAAACTGGGACAACGGGGTCACAGAATCACAGGGGTCACCAGCCTCTGTTTTCATTTGCCCTTGAGTCAGGGAGGGGTGTCAAAGCACAGGCAGGGCTGTCCGTCACGCTGGTGAACAGGGGACCTGCACGGAAAAACACACTCACACACACACACACACACGCGTGCGCACACGGCACCAGCAGCGCAGAACGCGATCCTGTCAGCTGCCACCCTGCGAATCACTGCATTAAACCGCACAGCGGCACTTTCCTTTTAGGGGATGGGCAGGGACACTGGGGGTCCTTCCACCCACATGCAAGGATGAGGTGCCCTTTGTGGTGCCTGTGCCATTTAAGGCCAGCGGCTGTCACTGAGAGCAGAGGCCAGAGCAGTAGACCAACCCAGTGCCCGTTTACATTTTGCAATGCCATTCAGAGGTGCCGGCTATAATTTTTGAAGGGTGAGCTGTTGATACAAACTGATCGTTGTGACAGATATACACAGAGACAGGAGGTAGAAAGGCATCCCTGTGTAAACCTGTGAGGAGCAGGAATCACAGAACAGGGCAGCGATACAGGCAGCAGAGGAACAGCGTTAGTTTTAACTTGGACTCACCCGCCACGGGACGCGGTCCCAGTTGGCTGGGCACTGGCGCCAGGTCCGGGGGTGTCTTGGCGGACTGGCCCGGGGGCGGGGGCCGGGGCTCACTGGCCGGGGCTGGTTTTCGCTGCAGATATGGGGAAGCAGAGAGGTTCAGTGAGGAGGCGTCGGTCACGTGGCCCCGTCATCAGCACACCTCGGCTCAGCCAGGGTCACAGGCCATCCAAGAGGAGTGACAACTGGCCCTTTTGGCTGGGGCACAATGGCGCTCGGGTTCGAGCAACACAGCTTCAGAGAGTCCAATTAGAGTAGGAGGAACTTGACAGCAGGGAAGGGAAGCAGGAAACTTCTGACAGGGGAAAGCACCAGTGTAGGCAGCCGGCAACGTCAGTGAAGCGGGGAGCCTCGTTAAGGCTGAGAAGAGAGCGGATGCTTAATGGTCACGCCCTGACTGAGAGGCAGCCTCAATGATGCTTTAGCCTAAGCAGTTTTTGCGGGTTTTAACAGGATGACGACCTCATTAAGGAACCCCGAAGGGGAAGCACAGCTCAGGGAACGTGGAAACTCGCGGTCAGACACCACCGCAGCTGGCCAGCCGGCTCCGAGTGCAGAGGCGGAGGCACCGTACCTGAGGCAGGAGGCTGCTGGAGGACAGCGGGGGAGCCTCATCTGGAAAGAGAACAAAGAATGAGATACTGCAGCCCTGTACCCCCCCCCACCCCATGGGTGCAATACTATTATTCCTATTAATGTACTATGGAATTCCATGCAATACTTTCCTTGGCAGTCATTGCAGTTACTGTTTACTGTTGTTCATTATTTATTGTTACTGTCTATCAATGTCTTTTACTGTCTAAATGTGTGTGTTGTGCATAGTCAACCTGCAGTTTACATTGGGACCATCCATCCATCCATCCATCCATCCATCCATCCATCCATCCATCGGGACGGCTACATGTGCACAGTACACACGCCGCTCACTGCAAAACCGTTTGCCTGGGGAGACGGACCAGGGAATATCGGCAGACATCTATATTAGTCCAGGCTCCCTGTCACACGCGGGATAATTAAATCCCTTTAATCCAATTAAGTTTCGCGCCACGCTGCAGCCCCACAAAGCGAGCCTCTGCACGGCACACGGCCCCCACAGGGCCAACGCCCCGCTAATCCCTCCCCGCCGTATTCACAGCTGGGCCGCCTTTTAAATACCGCTGTACAGCACGGGGGGCGGAGACGGCAACCGGGGGGGGCGGAGATGGCAACCGGAGGGGGCGGAACCACCCCGAGGCACTTCTCGCTCGTTAAGGGTTGCTCTCATTAGCGGCCAGTTACTCTGCCAGAAGCACCAGTCAGTCCAGAGCCACAGCTATGGATCCCCAGCCCTTTCGCCAGCCTGACATTTTAGAGCGGCAGCTAGACTAAGGCCCCATACCTGTGCCTGACCGCGACGAGCCTTTGGTCTGGGCGGTCACTAGCAGGTCGTACGTGTGGTCCTCATCCTCCTCAGACCTCCCCATTCGCTCCACCCACTGCTCCATGCTGCTGTTCACGTACAAGGACTAAAGAGGGAGACAGAACCATGTCACGGTGCCCCCTGCTGGTATAACGGTTACTTCAGCACAAAACTTAATCACTTGTGATACAAATTTAACACTGACAGCTGTAATTGCCAAGGAAGGCGTTCCAAACCTTATAATCAGTTTGAGCGGTTCATAAGACATCATTATATTGGCACTTAAACCAGCAATAAATGCTGCCATGTGACTATAATGACGTTAATGACAGATCATGGAGGTATACAGCTTATTAGTTAAACATTGGTATCGGGTTGGTATTTGTTATCGGATGATGCCCAAAGCCATCATTTTCGGTATCAGGACTGAAAGTGAGATCGGTGCATCCCTAGTAACTGGGCAGTTCTGCTTTAATCCCCAGCTGTTACCCCCCAGTTGGTCTCCTTCTCTTGTGATATTTAGAGTTTGTCCCCCCCCCCATACCTCCGAAGTGACGCCCTCCTCACGGCCAGCTGGTTGCTGCACGGTTTGGGGTGGCTGCTCCTTCTGCAAAGGCACAGCCGATGCTCAAAGATGACTCTCAAAACTGGATGTACCAGGCAGGCTCAGAGCTCAACATCCAGCCAAATGAGCGACATTGAGAATAAGAAACCAGATAAACAGTGCCATCTAGAGTACAGGATGAGCCATGCACCAAACAATAGACTGCATAGGGAAATTAAGAGAACTTAATACTGACATGAGTACTTAATACCGACATATAACTAAACGATTAAAGCTTTAACAAATAAGGAAAACAGAGAGAAGTGATGTGGCCCCCTAGTGGACTAATAAGGGATTACAGACATTCCCTTAAATTAAGAGCCCGCTGTGATGTGATGGATGGAGCTGGCCAGATGGACAGTGTGTGTGTGTGTGTGTGTGTGTGTGTGTTTCTGCGTGTGCATGTAATTGGCAGGTGCTCACCCTGCCTCCCTCGCTGTCAGTCCGGCCCGTGTCCCTCTCAGAAGACTTGCCGCTGGCCAGGCTGTCCAGGGAATGGCAGGAAGTGGCTTCAAAGAGAGCCTCATAGGGGCTCTCCTCCTCAGGGCCCGGTGCTGGCATCAGCTCGACTGTGGAGTCTCCTGAAACGGCAGGGGGGGGTTCAGAGAGTGTGGGGAGCAGGAGGGAAGAGGTGGCCCACGGGCCTTTCTGGCACATTCAGGGCACAGCATGGCATGATGTGGTGCTGATGAGCCAATGAAACGGGAGAGGCGGAGCCTGGGCATTGCCACGGCAGTGTACTGGCGTTTATACGGGGGCATCTGGCTGGGCACTGCCAGGGAAAATACCTCACCTTTCTTCCGGGGGCTCAGATTGTCCTGACACGAAGGGGGAGGGGGCAGGGCTATTTCGGGTGGACTTCCTGTCATGTGACCTACGGTAAGAGAGCACAGGGATCACATCGACTCAGGGGTTGCAGAAGAGGTACACTCCTGCTGAGAACCACCCCCGCATCGATGTGGCAGGCTGCTGTCAGAGTGCCACCTAATGATACCACAAACGCAGTCCTCAGCTTCCTGTCCCACTGCCAATAGGGTAATGTTACAATTATATATTTAGTAGACGCACGTGTTCAAAGTGATGTACAAGTAGCAAAAGAGCAGAGTCAACCAGCATCCCAGGAGCAGTAGTGGTTAAGGGTTTTGCTGAAGGGCCCAGTGGTTATACATCAGTCTGCTTGTCATGGGATTTGAACCCACATGCTTCCGGACACAAGCACAGATCCCTAACTCAGTGCACACCAGCCCAAGACGAGATCCTCCCTGGCCTCCGGGGGGTATCCTGCCTCGCAGAGAGGGCTGTTCTTGGGCACATGCAGGATTTCTTGTGTTATGAAATGCGAGACAGAGCAGATGTACAGGCACAGCACGCAGCAGAAGGGGCAAGGAGGGAGACAGCAGCAGGAGGTACTGCCTCACGCCACACCAAGGGGGCAGGCCTGCCGGGGGGGGGGGCCCAGACACGGGCACTGAGGGCGGCCAGGTGGCTCTCACCCTGGATGAGCGCGGCGATCTCCCGGCTCTTCTGGGAAGGCATGTCCTTGACAATGTCCAGTGCCGTCAAGCCCTTCTTGTCCACCATGTTGACGTTGATCCCTGGGAGAGAGTCATCATCATTATAATCACCACCATTATCAGCATCAGCACATCACACACCTCATTGGTCATAACAGTGAACAACCCCATACACCACCAACATGTGACAGGTGACCAATGATGCTATGGGGGTTGGTGTCCAATGTGAAAGGAACACAGGAAGTGTATAGGAAACAAGCAGGAAGTAAATGGGAGAGTTGGGGGGAGTGGGCTAACCTGAGCTGAGCAGCTTCTGAACCACGTCCGTCTTGCCGAAGAGAGCCGCCTCGTGCAGGGCGCTGCCTTTCTCCGTCTGCAACATACAGCAGGAACCATGTTGGACGTGGCATGCTCTCTGACAGACCACCTAACACAGACCAACACCTCACCCCTGATGCTGGGGACACAGGGACCACGCCGGACGTGACATGCTCTCTGCCAGACTGCCTCACGCAGACCGAGACCTCACCACTGCCGGCAGGGACACAGGGTTCACACCGGATATGGCACGCTCTCTGCCAGACCACCTCACACAGACCGACACCTCGCCCCTGCCACTGGGAACATAGGGTTCATGCTGGATGTGGCACGCTCTCTGCCAGACCACCTCACACAGACCGACACCTCGCCCCTGCCACTGGGAACATAGGGTTCATGCTGGATGTGGCACGCTCTCTGCCAGACCACCTCACACAGACCGACACCTCGCCCCTGCCACTGCGAACACAGGGTTCATGCTGGATGTGGCACGCTCTCTGCCAGACCACCTCACACAGACCGACACCTCGCCCCTGCCACTGCGAACACAGGGTTCATGCTG